GGGGTTGGAACTGGATGAGCTTTGAGGTCCCTTCCAACCCAAACCATTCTGTGATTCTGTGATTCTAAGAGCAGGAAAATAAGGAATCAGAGGAGGAAGATGTGCTAGTTTGAAGGGAGGAGGGTGGCATCTCCGCAGTTCGCTTGCAGGTGTGTTGTGGCCCAGAACAAACTCCCGCGGGTGTTTCCTCCAGAGGAAAAATTTATTTGTGAAAAATGAGAGCAAATCTCTTTGCAGGAATAAGCTCTCAGAAATGGAAATACTTGTGGCGCGATGAAAAATTGCTGTCTTAGGCTGCGTGTTTTCCCTCCGTCTTCCAGAAGTTCTTTGAGATGCGTTTGCCAGCATCTACTTCCAAGAAATGCCTCGTGTTTCAGAGCGATGGCTGCCTGGGCCCCAGCTGGCTGCGTCGCTCACTGTTACATCCCAAAAGCCAAGCTTTTTCCATAGTTTGGATGAGAAAGTTCAGGAGAAACTCCTCTGTGGCTGGAGTCAAAACCGGTGGTTTTTCAGTACCGCATCGAAGTATGGTACGCTCGCCAGAGGCAAGAGGCCTGGCCCATGAGCAAACATACGTTCCTGTGCCAAACCACATGAGCAAACATAACGTTCGTGTGCTAAACCATCAATATCCAGGCACTAAAAGGGACAGAAATGTTTTGGAGATGTGTTTGGGGCAATCAGAAGAGTCTCTGGGGCAAGAACACCTTACTGGAGAACATAATTCCAAGCCTTGGTTTCTTTCTGCTTTTGTAGGATGGACCAAGGGCAAGTGGAATCTGATTCTTCGAGATATTTAAGCACCTAATTAGTGTCATGAATTAATTTGTGGAGTTGAGGAGGCCTCTTAGGCATGTGTTAATTAACAAATAATAATAACAGTAATGAAAGTAATGTAAGTAAAGATGTTGAAGTCTCTTCTAAAGAGGAGTGGTTTTGTTTGGTTGTTTTTTTTCCCTGTTCTAACCTAACTCATGAAGATGAATTGACATTTCTGCACTGACACAATAATGTTTATATCTAGGTGACTTTTTATGTTACTCTTATGTCATCAAAAGTGGGATTTAAGAAAAGCTGTGAGGAACATATCACTCATTGGAGTGAGCGCAAAAGGATAAAGCGAACTTCCCTCTGCAGACTGAGTTCAGCCCGTTTGGGAAACTTCCCAAAGTTTTTGCATGCAGACAAAATGACTTTAAGCTGCATAGTGGTGAAGCGTAAAGCCCTGGGTTTTGTGGCCCTTCCCTCCTGCCTTGATATGCCCCATCCCTTCCCTATCACAGTGTTCCCATCTGCTCCGTCCTTCCCTTTCCCTCCATTACAGTCCTCATTCCCCATCACACCCTTCCCTGGGAAGGAGATGTGCAGCATGTCTGAGGCCTCCCTTCTCCTTTTGGTGGGCCTCAGATATGTTGCACAAGCTCCTTATTTTCTATTTATTTCCTCATTTCTCTGTCTGCCCTGCTTTTATCCCCTCAGGTACAGGCAGTAGCTAAGGCAGCTTTGGGATCTCGGCTATTTCCACTTGTTTATAGACAGTTGCAGCAGCACTCATTAAACATAACTTCTTTCTTTGTTTTCCAGCTGTAGATGGAGTTTGAAGATGAACGGAGGGCTGAGGCCATTCCGATGGCACGAGCATCTGTTGGGAATGGGAACTCCGCTAACGCCAGACAAGATGTCAGACAAGACGTGGCAGCTCGTTGGTGGGTGCAGAGGACAGGGAGGCGCTGTAAAGAGTGGTTCTTGCGGTCAAGAGGTAAGGGTTCTTTTCTTTGATGTTAGATAAGGCACTTTACTGCAGGAAGGCTGAAGTCTAGCTCCAAGTCTCGTTCCAGATCCCTTGGCTTTGACAAGACAAAACCTGAGAGTTTACTTTTAGGCAAAGCTCTGGCCACAAAATTAAGATAACTGTTAGGTTTGATCCAAGCATGAACTGTTTACCTTTGATCCTTTTGAGTGAAAATGAGCATTTTTCCCTGCGGTAGTTTACCTGTATGAGAGACTCTTGGATAAGATGTAGGAACGGAAGCCAAACCTCATTAGAGAAAATTATTTGTGCCTTTGCCGCAGATGAGCTTGCATATCTGTGTTGAAATTTGTGTGTGAAGGACAGCTTGCGACGAAGAGAAAATACATTTGTCTGAAGACTGCAGCCATACTCTGAAGCTCAACCTTCAGTGTTTGAATTGCATGAGAACATTCTCCTGTTTTCCGAACATGGGTGTAGCTTGAGGAGAGTTAGTGATGACCTACGAGTTCTCGGCCTCCACAGGTTATTTGCTGGAGGTCTGCAAAACATAGAGGAGATATAAACTTGGGACTGGAAGGCTTAAACTTGCTGTACAGGGATCTGCACATCTGTGGAAAACTTTAGGGTGTATACAGACAAAAACCAATGCGAATTAGGTGATAGTTGGCCATTTTATCAAACTATCCCGTTACATAAACGTCGATTCAGGGTGCCTCGTTTGGCTTCAGTAGTGCTTTATGTTCACATACTTCAGGCTTCAACGAAAGGCTGTCCTGCTGCTGCCCCAGTAATGAAATGCACTCTGAACCCGAGGGCTCATGTATACCAAACCATTAATGGTCGTCTTTTTCACAGCCCGTAGGCAATGCTTACGTTACTGTGTTATGCTGGTGGTCATCATCATCATGGTCATCACTGTCGTCATCACTACATACGGTAAGCTTTTGGAATGTTTTCAATTTGAGATATGTTTCCTCTGACTGCTGGGCTCCAGGATCACAGAACTTCTGGGACTTGCATCACTATTTCGGTTGTTTCGATGCCACTATAAAGTTCAATAACCTCCAGGCAGAATTTAGAAGGAGAGAGAATTCTCCCTATAGATGATTCGGCAGTAAAGTTTGTGGGTTTTGTTCCTCTCTGCTGCATTCTTACCAGTTTTAAGGGCGCAGTTTCTTGCCTGACCTTGCCTGTGGTGTGTGGGTATCTTGTCTGTGCTTGTCACCAGTAACTTACCTGATGACACCAGTGAGTGCCCGAAGTCAGCGTTGCATCTCCAGGCCTATTAGGTGAGCTGCTCACGTATCTGGTCTTGAGGGCTCCTCTATTGTCCTACGTGGAAGACAGCTATGTAATACAGCTCTCATCTTTTTCACAGATAGTCTTTGGGGATCATTCTGGCTTTTTGTTTTTAAAAATCTGTGTTACATGCTGTGTTTTTAAGAAGGAGTCAGGCCTACCTCCCACTGGCACAGTAGAGGCCAGTCATGATCCCGCTGTCCCATGCGGAGCTCTGCTGTAGGACCAAAGGCTGTGCTGCCCGCAGTGTTACCCATGGTATCCGAGTCCCTGCGTGCACCTGTACCTCAGTGGAGCCCCTGCAGCCCCGTCTGCGCAGGGAGCTCTGGAATCTCTGCATTAAACATCTCTTTGGTCTGCCCCCTGCGACAGCATAAGGTGTAGTAGTGAGGTCCTCTGTGCATCCATGGAAACCAACGGAGAACGATAGTGACATCTGTCCCTGCTGGTTTTCCTTTGCTTTGTTAGGCTTTTATTTAAGTAGAAGCAGTTCTATTTTCTTGGGAGGGGTGAGGACAATGCTCACAGGAGACTTGCTAAGGGGTCTCCAGTGATACATAGCAAAGAGAGTAGCTGATAAAAAAGGGAAGGAGAGGAAGCGTGGCAACAGCCGGCTGCAGAAGCGAGGAGATCAGTTCGCCTTCTGCAAGCCCGTCTGCTCACATAATGGCCAGTTACTTCCATTTTAGTATTCGCCATCTCCGCACCCAAGCAGTGGATAAACGGACTTTCAGAGCAGAAAGTCTGGATTCGATCCCAGCAGGATGACTCAGGAAATAAGCTTTATACACTGAGTGAGCCCGGGTGTGTTAGAAAAGACACCATGCTGCGCAGAAAAGGTCACTGTAACCGTTCGGTAACAATCAGGGCAGATTATTTTTGTTTGGGAAACAGAAACCAAAGTAAATGCAAATTAATATTCTTCATTGCAAGAAATTAAACTCAGCACTGAAACGAAACATGCCAGTGAGTCCTGTCACCCTCACAGAGCTACTGTGACAGAAAGACGAGGGAGAGGGGGCATCAAAGCTTGCTGGGGAAGAACTCCAGTGAACCATTCTCCAAACCATCATCTCCAAATAATAATAAATTTTACCTCTTTGTTGACAGACAAATTTCGTTAGCATCATATCAACACCTCATTTACTTACCTTCATGGATATTTATCAAACACTCCAAGGTCTGATACAAAATCCAAGCAACTTGTCTTCATGAAATATCTCACCAGTTAGTTGTAGATATTCAAGCAACTTCGTTGCTTAAAATGAATTCCATCAATAAATTAATAGTCTGAGGTTTATTACCCTATTACTGGATTTAAAGTGTGCTGAGTATAAATCATCAGTTGTCAATGCCTCTAATTCTTTAAAATTTGGGAGTGTTTTACCAAACTATACTTATTTTTCTACTGATGGTAATAATTGGATTGCAGTCCTCAATTCTCACATTTCTCAGCTGGACAGTGCCTGGAAGGCAGGGAAGGTCAGGACACTTGCCCGCCCTGGGGCTTCTCTTCTGGCACCTGGTGTGCCACTGGCTTTCAAAACCTCTGTATTTTAGATGGGACTTGTTATGGCATCAGATCATTATTAGCCAGCTGGACTGAGTTAACTAATTAAGTCAAGGTACCGACCCTGCCTACAAGAGGCAGGCCATTTCCTCCTGGCTGTTGAAGGTGCTCCAGTGTTCTTGGTGCTGCTGCCCAGGCTGGTGAGCAATAGGAGTTGTGCTGATGAATGCTGAGGTTTTGCCAGGTAGATGTTTTGTCCTCTCTTTTCCTTTGTAGTTGCAGGACTTTGGACATCTCACTCTGGAAAAGGTGCCTATGAACAGTGTTCCAGTGAGTGGATAGGTTATGGAAACAAGTGTTATTTCATCTCAGAGGAGGAAAGAAACTGGACGTCTAGTCAGACCTTCTGCGCTGAGAGTGGATCCTCGCTAGCTGTTTTTGAAAGCCAGGAAGAAGTGGTAATGGGAAAAACAACAACAAACCAACACAACTTCTGTATCTTTGTCTTTCCTTGATAAAGCTTTCTTTTTCTGTTTTTTTAACACAATGCTTACCCTTTAAATCTTGGTAAAATAAGTGAAGTTGTGTGAATTCTGGTGTGGTGGGAAGTGTTTGCCTTGTTGCTGTCAGTAGCTGGCTGGCTGCAGCAGGTGCATCAACAGTGCCAGCTGTCCCACACTGCTTCAGTGCTTGGCATTGACTTGAATGACTAAGAAAAGCTCTTTATTATTAATCAGTTTGCCTAGTTTTACTTCTCTGTCCTGTGCTTCAAAGCAGGCATAATCTATCCAGCTTCTGGTACAGACAAAAAGGATGTTTGGGTTTCTGTAAGAAATGGTGAGTTGGTGAATGTTGGTGATGCCTTACTACTGCATGCAACTAAAACCGTAACGTGCTTTTACACGTCTGCTGCCTTTCAGGGTTGTCAACGAGCAGCTAGTTTCATCAAACAGTTAGTTTTTAGGCTGATTGACATTTGAGCTTTCTCGTTACTGTGACTCTTGTACAGAGGCCAAAAGGCTGCGTTTCCAGTTGGCTGGTACGTACTAGTGGTGGAGCAGACATGGAAATGTAGGAAACCCCAGTGAAATCACGCAGACCGAGTCGTGTCCTAGTTTGGCTTGAGCTACTACGTATTCCTAACAGCGACAAGAATTCCAGCAAGGACAAAGACGCGGGGCCTGGTTCTTACTTGCCGTATGAGTCCCTCACTGAGTGTGGTATCTCATTTTATCCCATCAACACACCCCTTTCTTTACCCATAATTCCAGCTGTATTTGCCAGCTTGTCCTCGCTCCACCAGCCCCTTCTGCATTGTTGCCCTGTGAGTGGTCACCTCTTACCAGATGTGTAGATGCCTCTCTTTGTTACTTGTCCAAAAGTCTCACTTCTAGTTCGGTGCCTGTGATACTCAGCTGACACTTGGCTTGGCACAAATTGGTGGTACTTAAACTGCTGTTTAAAAACTTTATACCTACCAGCTGTAAACACAGCTTATGAAAGAAAAGCATGGGATGGCTGACATTGGCCTGTGGGGTTGGGTTGTGGACGCGTTGTCCAGTCTCCAGCACTGGATAGCGTGAGCCACACCAGAAGAAGTTACACCAAAACCTGTAGAAGTGGCACTGAGACTGTACGTAGACAGTTTCTCCTGAACTGTGTTGAACTGGAGCTGCTGGGGCAGAGTGGTGGAGTGCAAGTGCCCACTCTTGCCATGTCCATCCGAGTCCGTTCTGACAGCTAACATGGATATCGTTTTTAAGTTCACGGAGTCCAACGGTTCTGCCATATTAACCCGCTGCAAATGCTGTTTCCGTTATCTTCCATCCTTCTTTGCTGTGTTTGATTCAGCTTGCTGCCAACTTCTGGAGCAGTGAGCTGTCTCTTACTCTTTCTATCTGTACATCTGCAGATGAAAACCTTTAAATTTAAATGATTTAAACAATAATTGGGAAGGGGGGGAGTTCCCATGTGCCCATCATCCAAAACATAGGAAGCACCTGTATGTACCAGCCTCCTTAGACCAAGCTGCATAGGTAGAGACTGATAAACACATATAGACAGATGCGACCAGTACGTAATGTTTGGGGTTTTTTGTGTGTAGTGAACTATATTCAGTTCTATACCCTTGAAAATTATTAACTTTGCTGAATTTTATGATAACTTTGATTATATTTTTTTAATGATAATTTTATGATAAGGGTCAATTGAAAGGCAGAATTAGACTCTTAAGTCTCCGTGACATGCTTACAAGCCGTGTTCTGGATGACTGAATGATGAACCAGTTCTCCTCAAAAGTCACAGAGGGATTTGCTGCTCATTGTGAGAGCTCATATTGACAAAAATGGGTTAATTTTGTTTGTTTTTCGTTTTTCTTTTAGCTTTCTTTAGCTAAGCATTTGAGAATAGAAGACACCTGGATCGGATTGCGCAAGAAAGGTGAAAGCTTTTACTGGCAGAACGGTGTTGCCTTGAAGAACGACTCGTGAGTTCCTTAGGGTTCTCTAACATTTTCTTAAGTAAATATAGAATTACGGTTTACAGCACAGTGTTGTTTCTATCAGGATTGTTTGTTTTTTCCCAGTGACTTATAACTAGGACTTGGAAAGCGAAGTCTTCACAGTTACATGGTGCGTTGGCCCCGGCTGGATGCCGGGTGCCCACTGAAGCTACTCTGTCACTCCCCACCTCAGCTGGACAGGGGAGAGAAAATACAATGCAAGGCTCATGGGTTGAGATAAGGACAGGGAGAGATCAGTCACTAAATACTGTCACAGGCAAAACACACTCAGCTTGGGTAAATTAGTTGAATTTATTACCTATCAAATCTAAGTAGGTTAATGAGAAATAAAATCTTAAAATACCTTCCCCCACCCCTTCCCTTCTTCCCAGGCTCAACTTCGCTCCCCATTTCTCTCCCTCCTCCTGCTGCGCAGCGCAGGAAGATGAAGGATGGAGATTGCAGTTAGTTCATCACATGTTTCTGTTGCTCATTCCTCCCAGGTGGAGGACTCCTTGTACTCTTCCCCTGTTACAGCCTGGGGTCCTTCTCATGGGAGACAGTTCTCCATGAACTTTTCGGACATGAGTCCTTCCCACGGGCCACAGTTCTTCAGGAACTCTTCCAGCATGGGTCCCTCCTGTGGGGTGCAGCCCTTCAGGAACAGGCTGCTCCTGTGTGGCTCCCCCATGGGGTCACAAGTCCTGCCAGCAAACCTGCTCTGGTGCTGGCTCCTCCCTCCACAGGTCCTCCCAGGAGCCTGCTCTGGTGTGGGCTTCCCATGTGGTCACAGCTGCCTTTGGGCACATCCACCTGCTCTGGTGTGGGGTCCTCCATGGGCTGCAAGTGGATCTCTGCTCCACTATACACCTCCATGGTCTGCAGTGGGGCAGCCTGCCTCACCATGGTCTTCATCATGGGCTGCAGGGAAGTCATTGCTTAAGCACCTGAGTATGGCTATTGCCCCGATTGCCCAGCTGGGATGAATTGATTGATTTCATCATTAAGGTTTAGACCCTGCCTACAAAAGGTGGGCCATTTCCTCCTGGCTGTGGGAGATGCAACCACATCCTTGGAGCTGCAGCTTAGGCTGGTGAGCAACACCTGAGCACCTCCTGGCCCTCCTTCTTCACTGACCTTAGTGTCTGCAGAGATGTTTCTGTCATGTGTTCTCACTCCTCTCTCCTGGCTGCTGTTGTGCAGCAATTTTTTCCCTTTCTTAACTATGTTATCCCAGAGGTGCCACCAGTGTCACTGATGGGCTCAGCCTTGGCCAGCAGCAGGTCCATCTTGGAGCCAGCTGAAACTGGCTATATCAGACATGGGAAAGTTCTAGGAGCTTCTCACAGAAGCTACTTGTGTAGCCCTGTGGCTACCAAAACATTGCTGTGTAAACTCAATGCAAGTTACTACTAATGTAACTCCAGTAGCATCCATGTAGAGAACATGTAGATTGAAGAAGGGTTTTTTAGTAGCTCAGTACATCAAGATGATGTTATTGATCCTGCCTATTTACCTTTCATTTATATGTATTTTTCAGTTGTCCTGGGACAGCGTTCCAGGCTGAGACAGAGGTAGTTTTTCTGTTGAGCAGCCGGAAGAGCTCTGGGTTTTGGATTTAGTCTGGGACTTGTTATGAGAAGAATGTTGTTAATGCACTGATGTTTATAGTTGGCACGGACACATCAAGGAGTTTGCACCTTCCTGTGTTTTTGCCAGTGTGCGGGAGCACGACAGGCTTGGGAGGAGCATAATGGACCAAAGGGTCCACAGCTGCCCTTGCATTTTGAACTTGGACTTAGGGTTGAGGGCCAAACTGGCCAGTGGAGTATTCCGTATCATGCAGCATCATGGCCAGTGTATAGATGAGGGTTGACCGGAAAGAAGGGCTTTTGCTCTTCCAAGGGCTCTCCCTCTTGGAGTGCTCTCTACCTCTCGCTCTCTTGTTGGGCCTCTCGCTTGTCCAGGGTTGTGGTTTGAGGACTTGCCTGTTTCAGGATCGTTTACTGGGGCAGGACAGGTGTTGATCACCGGGCAGCAAGCAATTATACTGTGCATCACTTGTTGGTGTATTGTTATGATTATACATAACTATATATTTGTATATTAGTAGTAGTAGCAGTAGTAAATTGTTCTTATCTCAACCCACGGGCCTCCTTCCCTTTTCCCCTTTAATTCCCTTGCCCATTCCAAGGGGGTGAGGGAAGGTGAGCGACTGGCTGTGTGGCGCTCCGTTGCCAGCCGGGTTAAACCACCACCCAGTACGTAGTACAGACATGTCAGTCTCTCTGCAGAATTCTTCCCTTCCAGTGTGGTCCTGGGTGCTCGTCTTCCTGAAATACCCAGCGCCTGGCAAATACAAGTACGGTGTTAGGGTTGAAAGAGAAGGAAGTGACAGGCGTGAGGGAATAATAATCTTCAGGTGGATTAAGCAGCTTCATAAAAAAAATCGTATCTGCTTTAGTGGGTTTGTCACAGCCTGCAGACAGCACAGATTTTACCCCTATTGATATTAGAAAGTGTGTGGGCTACAGCAGCTCTGCGTCAGGCCCACCAAACAGCAGATCCCTGTGTCTTGCTCTCCAGAGCATTTAGGACCTCAGTCATTTTAGGCAGGATATATCATAAGCTGTCTTCCCCCTGTTACTGTATGACATCCAGTATGGACTGTTCATAGGAACGCAGATTCATCCAACACCGCATGAATTCAACCTGTTTCTCTGAACTGATGTGTCACCTCACCTTGCTTTTAGCAGCTGAAACTACCGTATCGCAGGGCACCCAAGTCAAATGGAACTACTTCAGCAGAAGTTTTGTTTTGCAGCAGCCTAAAACACTTGGCTCAGTAGTAGAAATTGTTTGGTAATCACTGTTTTCTTCCTGTATTTTTTCAGGTTCCAGATCGACAATCACTCTGAGTGTGCCTACTGGGATGGCTCCACTATTTCTACGTCGGCGTGCTCTTTGCCCAGGCGCTATATCTGTGCCCGCTCCCCTAAAAGGCTGACTTAAGATTTTCATTTGATATTGTCCTCGTTTTGACTGGGACAGAGTTAGTTCTTTTTAGCTGCTAGAAGAGCTTTGTGTTTTGGTTTTTAGTCTGCATATCTATGCACAGTAATCTGAGGAAAAGGACATGTTCAAGATATTTTTGCATCCCTTGGAAGCAGCGTGTTGTCTGCAAAAAATCAACTGCCACTGGAGAGGAACTGTGGTGTTTGCTGAACACAACGCACAGGAAGAAAACGTTCTGAGCAGAAAGCTGTGGCAGACTGGGACACGAGAGCTGCTGCTGCTGTGTGCTGGTGTCCCTGTGCTGAAGCTTCCCATGTGTGGTCAGCACAGCCCCTCACCTGCTCCACCTGGGGGGGTGTGAGGGGTCTATGTGAGCTTCTCATGTGTGTGCTGTGTTGCAGAATCTCCAGCAGAGGGGTAGAGATAATCACTGGGAGCAGTCACTTGCCTGGAGGAGATCTACTAGGATTTCTCTTGGAGCCTTCAGTTGGCAGGTTACTGAAAGGACATCAGCTGTGAATTGTGCAATTCTCTTTTGTCTTACTTAAATCATTTAGGTTGCAAAGACCCTTAAGGTCACCAAGTCCAACCATAAATAACGTAGCAATCTGGTGTAGAATGACCAATATGTATATGGTGCTGAAGGTGACAGGTAGTGTCACTGGGTTACTTTTTGAGGTGCTGTGTGTGGGGACACTAGTTCTGAGCTGGGCCCCACTGGTGCCAACTTCACACCCAAGTGCTTCCACAGCCAGCTACACTCAGGTTATCTCTGGTTTACACTGGGGCAAATGAACTCAGAACTCCTGCTCTGCCTTGAAAAAGCTGAGCAGGTCCTTACGACCTATGTAAATAATTTATTGTGATACAAACAAACACTAAGAGTATTGTAGTAAGTCTCGAGGATTTGCAATGTGGAAAGCTCCCTTACTGAGTTGGGAAGGGGCTGTTTGAGAGAGAAGGTGTAAAACAGTGTCCTGGTTTCAGCTGGGACAGAGTCAGCTCTTCTTTTTAGCAGCCAGAAGAGCTCCGTGTTTTGGTTTTAGTCTGAGACTTGCTCTGACCGCTGGCAGCGCACTGGTGTTTGTAGTTGGCACTGAGGTCTCAAGCAGTTTTCAGCTGCTGGCTTCTTGCCAGTGCGCAGGAGCACAACAGGATAGGGGGGAGCATGGCCAGGACGGGGGGGCCATAATTCCCCTTGGGGTCTTAACTTAGACTTAGGATTGAGGGCTGAATTGACCAACGAAGTATTCCATCTCATGCAGCGTCATGACCAGTATAAAAGCTGGAAAGAAGGGCTTTTGCTCTTCCAGAACTCTCAATCTCAGAGCACTTTCTCTCTTTCACTCTACTTTCGGGCCTCTCACTCGTCTGGCGTTGCGGTGTCAAGACTTATCTGTTTTGGGATTGTTACTTTGGGACGAGACGGGCCTCAGTCAAGGGATGCTGAGCAATAACTGCATACCTCATTCATATATATTTATCCTGGTACATCTATGTATATGTTTTTATCCTGTTAGTACTATTAAATTATTCATATCTCACCCCATGGGTCTCTTTCTTCCCCATCCCGGGGGGTGGGGAGGGTGAGCGAGTGGCTGTGTGCAGTTCAGTTGCCGGCCGGGATAACCATGACAAACAGTTTGGGGCTTTAACTGCTGTAACTTGGATGTTCCCTCTGTGAGTTGGAGGGAAGAAGATAACTGAGAACTGTTGTGAACAACCTGTGCTTGAGCACAGCTGTGGGGTTGGGTGTATGGCATCAGATCATTATTAGCCAGCTGGACTGAGTTAAAGATAATGAATTAATTAACTAACTCAAGGTATTGATCCTGCCTACAAGAGGCAGGCCATTTCCTTCTGGCTGCAGAAGATGCAACAG